TATGTATGTATGTTGTATGTATGTATTCACACCAGAAAATTCTTGAGCATGAAAGTTATCTTTTGCAGATTGAAATTGGAGAGTTTTTCATTGGAGGTGCTTCTACAGGTGATTTTATTGTTCCTCGACAATAAAAACTTCTATTTTGGGATTTACTAGTGGAGTCATTGAGTGGTTAAGATGCTTTGGAATATGGTATAAGGAGTGAATCTAGACTGAATTTTTTACTTCCTAATACTTGAATTTATTTTCAAGAAATGCAGGGTCAAAAAACTATATCTTTACATCAATGTTTGTGAAATGAGACTGAAACATATCAATGTTCTTTTAGGTGTTTGTGAGGGTGGTTGTGCTGCTATTGTGGATTCAGGAACATCTTTGCTTGCTGGTCCAAACCGTATGTGCTTCGATAGTTAATACCTTAGGCTGGCACGCTATCCTTGGGATTTATAGACCCTAATTTTTATAATGTTTTGTTTTCCTATATTATTTGATGCTTTGCTAATGATTTTTCTTCTTCTTTTTTATTTATATAGCTGGAAAATTATTCAAAAATTGAAGAGGCTAAAATAGAGGAGCTCATGAAGGCAGTAGCAGATTCTAGTGCCAAAGTGATTGTCAATGGAGGAGTAGTTGGAGAGATGGCTTTGCATTTCTGTGACCGTTAAGAGTGTGTGAAGTCTTTTATCCCTTATGGATGGTTTTAGTTGTTTCTCGCTATTGAATTAATATGAACATTATAAGTATTCAAGTCTAGATTGTTTTCTAACTTAAATATTATTGCATATAGGCTTATGGTTCTGAAAATCAGCTCAAAGTTTGAACTATGACGATTTTGCAGAACAACTGGTTCTGTGCTATGGTTTGTGTTTTTGCTTATTTGGTTATGAAAATGTTTTATGCTTTCCGTCTAATCAATTTATTTTCCTGCTATAGTTGAAACTCAACCAACCGAATGCAAATGATCTTGGATATGTGGATTCGTTTCAGTTTCAGGAAATTGGTGGTGTCAGGGTATGTTCAAACCTGAATAAGCTCTGTTGTCTTCTTGTTCCACGTTTCTTTTTATACTAGTAAAAGAAATATGTTTGCACGAGAAAATACACTGGTTTATTCCAACTATGTATGCACTTATTGATGGAGGCATTTCTTTTAAAAAGCAATTTAATGCTTAAGCTAATTGAAATATGGATTAATTGTTGGAGGCACGTTTTTAGAAACAATTGAAATATGGATTGATTGTAAATAAATTAAAATGTCATCTATTATAACTTCTATGTAATTATAATGTCAATTGTAAATAAATTAAAAATATATCATATACAAGTATACTTTGATACTTTAAAGTTTTTCAAGATTTAAACCAAAAGAAAATACAAATTTGAAATAATGCTTCATTACATTTTAGGAATTAATTTAAATTTGATATTTTATGGAATTAAAGATGAGAACCTTGGTTATGATGAGAAGGATTAGATTTATGATGAATGGTATGAGTAAAGATATCCTTGATTTCTTCTATTGTTTTTAGAGCGCTTGGTTTCTACTATTTAACCATTTAACCTATTTAGATACTTAGTGTGTTTATAAGAAATTTATTATTGTGTTTTCAGTTCTCATTTCTTAAGAATAAGATCAATTAAACAAGAAAAAGGCTTTATCATTTTTCTGTTAACTGTTCTAACCTATTTATAATTTGTCATTAAGAGGTGCTTCATGCTACAATGTGAAGCGAGGTTTTGAGATGCAGAGCGGTGGAGAATTGCATGCATCAAATAGTCCAGTAAATTTTTTTTGAGTAATATTTTACAGTTCTAACATTTTATAATGGTACCAATATTTTACCCTCACAACTTAATACTTTTTTATATATAAGCTGTTTTCTTTCCAGCTTTGCAATCAATATTTCTACACATTTATATTGTAAATTAATTTCTCATTTCACAAACATTGATGTAAAGATATAGTTTTTTGACCCTGCATTTCTTGAAAATAAATTCAAGTATTAGGAAGTAAAAAATTCAGTCTAGATTCACTCCTTATACCATATTCCAAAGCATCTTAACCACTCAATGACTCCACTAGTAAATCCCAAAATAGAAGTTTTTATTGTCGAGGAACAATAAAATCACCTGTAGAAGCACCTCCAATGAAAAACTCTCCAATTTCAATCTGCAAAAGATAACTTTCATGCTCAAGAATTTTCTGGTGTGAATACATACATACAACATACATACATACATATATGTGTCTGTGTATTTAAAAGGAATTCCTAATCAAATAAATTGTGTTTTTGCTAACCTGCCAGTAACCTTTTTTAGTAACTGGAATATAAGTGTGGTCTCCTTTAAAGTGCTTTAGGTTAACACCACCGAAAACCATTTCACCACCTTTTTTCGCATTTGGATCCCCATTCAACAAAAAGGAAAACACCTTCTCACTGATAAGATTTTGCTCTACCATTTTGTACCTGTGATCTTGCATTTGCGACTCATTCAATAATATTCTCAATCACCAAACACATAAAACAAAACATACCTTAAAAGCCCTCTGAATCTTCCCTAAATGCAACACCCCCTAAACGCAACACCGGTAGCACAATGAAGATCTCCTAAAGATGCATCACAAGAATCCCATAAAGCTTAACAAAAAGTGGTGGACAGAAACCTTCTTCTTTGCATAAAAAAGTGGTCGCCGGACACATTAAACTTGACCAGAGTAGCTTCCTTGTCGAGGCGCAAGAAGCAGTTGCGGCGGCCGCGGACGAGGTTGATGATGGCGAGGCAGTTGTCACAAGCAACGTGAGGGCGCACTCACCGAACGGTTCAGGGCAAGGTCGTTGATAGCGGCGTGGCAGTGGAAGAAAAGCGTAGTAAGATGGACGAAGCCGTCCGCGTAAAAAATGGTGAGAGAGCCAGCGACGTTGGCGGAGATGAGGTTGCGGGGGAACGGAAGATTGGTAGGGGCGTAGAAGGAGAAGGCGGTGACAAAGGCAGAGTGTTGGTGGAGGGAACTGAGGGAGGAGGCGGTGGAGAGGTCGTAGAGATGGATGGTGTCGTCGTCACACTCCTCGCTCTTCTTCCTAAAACCCTAGGTTTTTTAACACTGAGACAAATGAAAGAAGCTTGGAGACAAATGAAAGAAGCATGGAGGAAAAACAGAAAAACGAAAACCTATCCTTTTAGTTTTACTTTTTATTAATTTGTAATAATTCATTTTAAAATTCCATAAGTAATATTAGAAGGTAATGTATATCAGATTACATGCCAATTTTAAATGGTTACACATGGATTATATCTTCAGGTAATCAATCTTTCCGTCTTACGCGTCAACATTACATATTTTATATACATAAAAAAAATCCGTATATAAAATCAGTATTTAACTTCTTTTTTGTGATCCGTATATAAAATCTGTATGTAATACTTATATTACATACGGATCAAAATCCGTATGTAAATATCAGTAGGTAATTCTCATTTTTCTTGTAGTGCACGCCACCACCAAAGCGTCTTCTCCCTTCTGTTGCACCTCCATCATCATGGTGCCAGCAGCACTGTCGTCCAATCTCCACCACAAAATCATCCACCATACATCGCTGCTACAAATCGCGAATCGCCACTCTTCTTCACCACTAACCGCGTCGTTGCTTGCCTCTACCTACAACCACAATCAGACCTGCAAGCAAACCAGAAGTCAATAACCTTCAAGCGTCATCACCACCGTCGCACCATCTATAGCGACGAGATCATCTTTTTCACCATCAATAACTAGAAAACCACAAACAGATCTGTAGAAAACCAAGATTCGACCACACCCTAAATGTTGTCGCTGTAGATTGCGAATGTCTTTTTTCACCTCGCGCAGCTCCAATCACGCGAATCGCCTGCAGATTAACCCAAGAGCGACCCACATATCTTTGTCTTCTCCATTGACGCACCAGAAACGAAACTCGCGAGTTCTTTCGTTCTCCATTACTTGCAAATCAAACGCATAAATAGTGTATCAACCACAGGGTCAACTTCCTTCAAGCCAGAATCTCAATCGCGATCCTTCATCCTTCCTTGAAAGCAGCTCACGGCACAGGCACAAAATTCTCGTTCATGACGGCGCAGGATGTAAGACCCTAGAACCTCATGAACTTACCTAGTTGTAAAAAGTTTAAGTTATAATGTAAAAATAAAGTGCTGTCAGACTTGACATGGTTTACTATTTTAATTATAACTTTTTATAGAAAATATCAATTTAGCTGATTCTTCTTTTATTGGATAGTAGACTCAAAGAGCTTCAATTTGAGTAATCATACGCGTATTTTCGACTTCGGTAAGGGGGTCAACCGGACTGTCAAAGTTGCGGTAAATTTTGCTGCTGGGGATTTGCGTGAGCAGTAAATTTTTTTGGATTGTAGGCAATGTGAGCTGGCTTGGCTGCGGTTCCTTTTGTGAGAATATTTTGGGGACCCTTTCAGACATTCCCTCCATGTTTTGGGGCTGGAAAGGAGTATGGGGCATTGTTTTATTGAATTATCTTTGCTAAATAACAATTCCATGGGTCCTTGTGTGTCTAGGAATCATTTCCTTTAATTCCAAAGCTGAATGAGTGTTTTGGACAGCAGAGAAAGGCCCTTAGTTAGAG